AAATCCCTGCACATCAGTTACAGTAATTGGTGGAAGGCACCAGCCCGAAGGGTAATGAGTTCCATTTTTAAAGCACGAGGAAATTAGATTTTTATAAATGTCAAACGCAGTTATTGTCCTCCTTCCTTGAAACAGAGCTGAGCTGGCTGGAGCCCATTGTCTCTCAATCAGCTTTGCTATGGATTAGACACATCCCATCTCACACCAGGAATGTGCTTATTAGAAAAATATCACTGCACAAAGCATACAAGCTTTAACACTCAACCCATGTACTAATGGATACATGTACAATGAAACCCAATATCACGTTACAAACCTTAAGCTGACCTGAGATAATAAGATACAGAAATCTGAAAGGATACAGATGAGTGCTCTCTTTGTGTGCAGCATTTCTGACTACCTGGGATTTTCGTTTTCAAATAAAGGAGATAAAGTGAGGGAAGGTGACTTTTCCTCTTGGCTGCTTCTAAAAGAGCAAGCAGTGTAAGTCTTCTTCATAGTGACAATGCTTGTAATCAGGTAGTGTCCAAATATTTTGTGTATTTTACTGGTGTCTCCTGGGTAACTGCGGTTCCACAGAGGACTTTTCTATTCACTGTCTTTTAGTTCTTTTCCGGAAAAAAGCAAGAGGTGGTTGTTTATACATCAAAGCTAGCTCTGTGAATTAGTCTTTCATTCATAATGAATGAAAATGTCACCAATATGTTTTAAGACACCATACTTCAGAAAATGGCTATCAGTTATTTGGAGAGGACAAAGTGTGAGCAGAATAGAGGGCTTTGTAAAATCAAATCAAAAAATCACCCCTTTTTTAAACATCTTACTTGAGGATAATAATCACCTCTCCATCCTTAGCTTGAGACTGTATCTCATTCCCACTCTGTAGGAGCTCTGTTAGAAAGTAGCACAATCCCTCATGATGTGGGAAGGTTTGAGGATGGAGCCAAGCTTTAGATTCCCTTTTGCAGTGATGAGATAAAAGATTCAGGCTACTTGTGTGGACTTTACCCCATGCTAACCCAAGTCTGAATGCTGCCTATGCTGTTTCCAAGGTGGTGCTGTGTCAAACACATTCCATGGACACGCTGTGTTGGAGACCCAGCTCAGGACTGCTGCAGGATGGCTTTAGAGATGCTGTCGTGGGGATCATGCAAGTCTGTGCTGTCCCCTCTACAGGAAATTCAGCAGATGGGCTATTCAGTCCTAGTTTGTTTTTCTGGAATCCTTTATTTACAAGTGTGCTTATGTTTTTTTTAAATTATTTTTTCCAGTTGTCTTTTTAATAATGTCAGGTTTTCCATTCAGTCTTCTTCATCTCAGCTTGTTCTTTTTTTCATTTCTGCTTCAACTGATTGAAGTTTCTGGTGTTGCCTGTAGGGGAAAAAGAAAAAAAAGTAACTTGAGACTTCTATTTTACACAAGCAAGGGATATTGAAAGATATTCCTAGCATGCATGCACCAGCAGACATGTGAACAGCACTTCCCAATTAAAACTCTTAAGAATTTCTGCTGGTTGCTTGAAGTCCTTACAAAACAGTGTTCTGTAGCTTGAATCCTTGAAAACCCATCATGGAAAAGTGATCCAGCTATTTGTATGGCAGTCATTTTATTTATTTAAATTTGGTTTTATAAGCTAAAATGAACCCAGCTGTTGGAGCAAAACAATGTGAGGATGTTACAAATATCTTTAAAACCTTGGACACCATGAAGCAAATTAAACTGGTTTTCTGTGACTTTGGAAAACTTCTAGTTCTGATAATTTTCCTTAATGTCTGTGCTACATCAACCCCTGTAAATTAAATAAAGAAGCAATTCAAGACATCTCTGATGTAGCCTGGTAGTTAAATGGTAATCAGCAACTGGTGATTAAAACATGCATATGACTCAAATCACAAATCCAAAGTCAGCATTTGCATTCCACTAGCCTCGTTAGCTAGGCACTTTAGTTAATTGGTGCTCTAGTGCAAGGGTTATTAGATGGCCTCCTGGGCCAGGGATGTGAAGTGCTGCTGCCTCCCTGCCTGCCTCTCCCTGGGGAGCTCTGTGCTGCCCTTGTTCACTGCAGTGGTCTCTTCTCAGCACCAAGCATGGCTGGAATGCTCAGGTAAAAGCAGGTTTCCCACCTGCTGAAGGGACTCACACCCACACTGGTGACTGGTGTCTCTCATCACAGCAATGCTGCCCATCCCTGGGCGCTGCTCTCATCACAATTGTTGCACATTCCTGGTCCCAGGAGGTCTTCAGGAAGCCTTGAGGCTTGAGCCTTCACTACACGAGGCACCTTCACTAGTGTCTGCATGCTGGCCAGGTTGGACACCTCTTTGCTCTCTCAGATGTTGTTCTCTGGTCCAGAGACGCTTTTGTGTCTCCCCATGGAAAGTGGGTATGGTGGTCCTGCCACAGCTCTGCTGATGCTTCTGCTTCTGGAGACATGGTCAGGGAGGAGGGCAGGAACAGGGAGTGGGTGCATGGCAGCAGCCACTGGTTTGATTTCCTCTGCAAGCCCAGACGGCTTCTGTTGGGAGCACCTGCTCAGCAGCACATCTGCTGAAAGGGCTTTCTCCTCTTAGTGTTTTGGCTTTGGAAGCTGCTGGAGGTTGTAGATTAATTGAAGCTATGACCATGCAGTAGGCGGGGTGAACCTGTTTTTTCTTGGCATTTGCCCTTCTACCTTAGGTACTCCCATCTGATGGTTTTATTTATTTATTCTAACTGCCTGTGACTGGTGTCCCAATTGGGAGTTTGCCTGTCTGCCTCGTGTTGGCACAAAAGAGTAAATTTGTGTGTTCTTGGAATGGAACCCTGCTTTTATCGTGCTGCATCTCCATTACTCCATATTAAACAATTGTTTTCTTCTTTGGGGTCTCTTGACTCTTATGCATGTAGCACCTGCACAGTAAAACCCACTGGGCTTCACAGACAAAAGAAACCATTCTGCTGTCAGCAGACGGATGTTATGAAATGTTGCCGTGTTTGTACAACAGCAGTTTTCCAATATTACCTCAGCTGTTCCCCATTTATTTGTAAAACACCACATGGGTCTGATCCACATTATAAACCTAATTGTAAAGAATGCTGGAGGTAAAACAACAAGACTAAGAAAGATGAAGCCTTTCTGCTAAGCCTGGAGGCTCGTGAGTGCCAGATTTCTGCCTGAAGTCATTTTAACATCAGGTGAAAAACCGAGGAGCACAAAAGAAGTGTTAATTGTAAAAGGCATGCTGTAGGCTCATTCCAGGCTGCATGCCAAGGCCTTAGATGGTTCTTTGTGTGGGGAGGATGAATCCCTTGCAATCAGAAACCCCCTGGATACAGTTCTGAGTTGCAGTATAACCAGAGTTCTGCAGGTGGCACAAAGATCTGCCTTTGTCCTTCACAAGTTTTAAGCGAGGCACCTGCTTTAGCAGTGTGCTTGCCCAGGGTTTTTTCTCTCAAGTGTCTGGAGGGTGAGAAGACGCTAGAGAAGAGAGGAACCTCCAGAGAGCAGATCAGGCTTGGATAAGGTGCTGCCCCAGTGTGTCCCCACACAGACCAACATCACCTGTCCTGACAGCCCCTGGGGACCTGCCCTTGCCTTTTGAGCCCGGGCTCACGGTTAGGGGATCACTCCCAAATGCCACATTGCCGAGTCATGGAGAATGAGCAGGAAAAGGTAGCTCAGCTGGATCATGTCTATCTCTTTCCTTATTCCCTAAAACCAGCACTGCTCTTAGGAACGTCTGTGAGCCCAGCTTTGTGCTGCTCTCATGCTGAGGCTGCCACAGTGAGGGTGAAGGACCTGCCACCACCAGTGTCCTTCCCCTGCTGTGGCAGGTGGAGTTTGGCAGAGCCCAGGAGTAGGGCTGCTGGGATTGCCTCTGTTGCTGTAGAGTGCAGTAAGACTAGCATGGTGTCACCTGTTTTAGCTTTGTGTGTTTTTTTTCTAGAAATGCTTAATTTAGCACTTTAAATAGATGAGTGACCTGTGGAACATGCAGAAATATAAAAGGAGTTGACTGTGTTTGTCATGTTTATTAATGCTTTCTGGGCACCTCAAGTTAACCATGGTGAGGAAGTTTCACTGAACATGAAGATGCCCCTGTGTGGGATCAAGTTCACAGGTTTCTGTGGATGAGCTCTTATTTTTATTGACATTCTGCAAGTTTGTGCTTTTGGTGAGTGGTTGGTTGTGTGTAGGTTCTTCTTTTGGCTTACAAGGCACCACAGTGATGCTGTTTGTGAACATCCCTGTTCTGGATGGCAAGTTATATGAGCCTCTATAGAAACAGATTCTGTTTTAGGCATCCTCAGCAGCCCTTAGTGGGAAAGAAGGAACCTACTGAAGCTGCATTCCCTGCTCCCAATACAAGCTTCTTTCAGCAGGAAACAGGCTCTGACTTCCAGCCGTGTGTGTGGCTCTCCACAGCAAGCAGCAAGCCCCACAATGTATAGGCATGAAATATCTTGTAATTTTAAAGCAGGGTAGCTCAAACATGCAAGGAGAAATTGCAAAGCCATAAGGAATTTGAATGTTTACTGACTAGGGGATTTTTTTTCCTGCGGGCTGAAGAGGGGCTTGGGGTAGAGCTGCCACCTCCATGGTGGGCAGAACCACCCCTTGTGTCTGAGCAGAGTGCAAGGAATGAACCTCACTCCTCTGCTGGAGCTTTTTCTGGCCCAAACCCAAGGGACAGGGTTTGCAAGAGGATATTACTGTGCAGAGGGACTGGAGTTAACATGTGCTTTTGGACCCCTTGTCTGTCCCTCCTGAATGCTGCACGGCTCCTCTGCAAAGACAAGAGCTTAATCTCTGCCACTTGCCAAGCCATCCCCCCAGACCACAGAGGCCTCTGAAGGCAGGTGGGGAGCTGTGATGGGCAGGGCCACAAAGGACCCTGCCATCCATCTTGCTTAAGGTGCATTGAAAGGCATTAATTCTTATTAATTATATGTATTTCTGGCAGGTTTTTAAAAATGTTTTCAACAGTACAATATGTCCTTAATAACTTTCTTTTAAACAGGTTGAAGCCATGAAGAGAGTACTAGAAAGTCTCAACCTTAATATAGTTGAGATGGTGGATGAAAACGCAACCTTGGATGGTGGAGACGTCTTATTTACAGGTATAACAATTACAGGTAGTGAATTGGCTGTTTACATGTTCTGACTGCCTTAAAGACTGCACGTTGTCTGATACCAGCATCAGAAAATGTCATTCCTGTGGTTTGCTGAATCGGGTGTTTGCTGAATGGCACGCAGGTTGCTGAGAGATGAGTTCTCAGTGCAACCCTCAATGTCCTGCCTAATACCTGAATAAATGGAGTAGCAGTACACACACTACAAAGAACAGCACTGTGCATACAGATTTTATTTTAGCTTGTAAAATGCCAATAAGAAAAATGCTTTCAGTAGTCAGCTGTCTGAGGTTGTTTCATGTTTCTTATTACAAGCAGCTAATGTTCACCAGACTCCTTTTCAGGACTTGTAAAAGCTTGATGCAGACAATTGTCTCTAGTTCAATGAATTAAATGCAAAAAAATGCATTTTTAGTTTCTCAAGGATGTGGTGGAGTTGCCTGTCAGATGTCACGAGCCTTACATGCATGGTTGATTTCAGAGATGAAGATACTGCCTGTGTTTTTTGTGTCATTAAACCCATTAGGCATTTTCTCACATTGGCTGCACACAGGGTTGCTCCCTGCCTGTGCTGAATAAGCCTGTTTGTTTTGATCAGTGTCACAGGAGGCTGCCTGCCTGCCTTAGTGCACCACAGGGAAAGAAGGGTCTCCTACAGAGGCAGACCAGGAAGGGAGGCTTTCCTGAGGCAGTGCAGATCCAGCACTGATTTTCTCTGGTGCTGGAGGATGCTGATGACTGCAGATCTGCCTTGAGACCAGAGGAAATCTCAAAGGGAGGGGGAAGTAGTTAATCAGTGGTGTTCTAATCCAGCCCAGCTGTTGTCTTTCCTGACCCAATGACCACTGCAGAGATTTAGAAAAGGAAGCTATTTATGCTTCTGGTTAAATATCTCTTCTGGCAAAGGATTAATTGCTTTAGATTATCAGCTCACAATTGCAGGTTGCATTCTTTTATGTTGAAATTTCAGTTTACATGCTCAGCTTGAGAAAAGAAACATATAACATGAAAATCCTTGAAAGATTGCTTCAGAATGTCTCTAAAGCTAGTCCACTTTTTCATTCCAGGCAGAGAATTTTTCGTAGGTCTCTCCAGGCGGACAAATCAACGTGGTGCAGAAATTCTGGCTGACACATTTAAGGTTTGTAGATTCCTTCATGCCACAGGAAATAGAAGCTGTCATTCAGTGAACCAATTGAACAATTGTACTGGCTAAGATGTTTGTCATACTCATGTACTTTATTTAAGACCTAATTAAAAAAAACCCAAAGGTGTAAGTTGCTGAAAGGTTTGAGCATCCTGTAAAGTCATAGATGGAAGCTGAAGTTAGATCTGAAATGTGAGATTGCTGCATAACAATCACTTGGATAGTGGGAGGCTGTTATTTTTTCAGAGCACATAAACACTCACGTTCTTCATGTACTCATGTATCAGCTCTGTGTTCTTATTGCTGGTTCCTGGCGAGGTTTTATGTACCTGCTGTTTAATTAAATATTTTAATGTATTTCTTTATGGTTGCAACAATAGTAGTATTTGAAACATGTTCTGGATTTTATGCCAGTCTCCAGACAAGACAAGCTGGTCCAGAGGAGAGTGTCATACTTAAACAGTTGACACTGTGCCCTGGGGTTGATCATTTGCAGAGAGTAAAATTAATTATGGAATGTCTCCATATAATTACGGAACTAGGACACTTTGAAAATATTTATAGCACCCTTCTTTACTCCCACACAGGATTATGCTGTCTCCACAGTCCCTGTTCATGATTCTTTGCATCTGAAGAGCTTTTGCAGCATGGCTGGACCAAACTTGATTGCTATTGGATCAAGTGAAGCTGCACAGAAAGCCCTCAAGGTAAAGCACCTAAGAAAATATTCTAAACATCATATCTCTTTCTGGTCTTTTTAAAATATCTGCTTAAGGATGCTGGAATTTTAAAATACATATAGATCAGTGAAAGAGAAAACAACAACTTTGTGTTAGGGCCTCCTGTGTGTGCAAACCAAAAAGAATGTCTATATCAGGCAAGAGAATGGTGATGTTGATTTAACTTCATTTATCTTAAGGAAATAAACAGAATATGCAGGTTATTATTTACAGATTTTTAGACTAAATATCTTATAATTTGGTGTTGAAAGGGAGGAAGGAGATATAGTCAGACCAGTGGAGATATTTACTTCAGATGTTGACATGAGGAAACTTGTCTTTTAGAATTCACAGAGGGGAAGTAAAAGTTCCATCATGAAGGAGGAGGAAGAGGCCCTGCACTTGTATAGAGTGTTTATAAACATGGGCAAAATTCAGCTACAATACTGGTTGCTCAGTGCTGCAATTTGAATTTGAGCCAGGGCTAATCTGAGAACTCATCAGTTTGATTAAACCCTTCTGCACAGCCTGGCTAATCATGTTGCAGTGCATCAATTTAGCTATTGTAACCAAAAACATTTTTTGTCTAACTTGATCAAATATTGCTGATAACTAACCATCAAGTAAACACCAGCATTAATCAAGGTAAAGTAATAAGCAGATGCATTTTTAAAAGAACATGATAATTAACAAGATAATCTAGCAGTCTCTGATTGTTGGTGCATATAATTTTAAAAACAAATCAACTGTCAGGTTTCAATATGTTCCTCTGCACTGGACATTTAGCAGCACATTTGCATGTGTCTGAGGATGGTGTTTGCTCACAGAACATGTTACCCAGAACATGTTCCAGTGAGTTGGATCTGGCTGTTCGTCCAGGAGTCTAAATCTCGTATGAGAAACTATTGGCAAACAAATGGCTAAATTGTCTGCCTTAGAAATTATGGCATTTGCAGTGCTGCTGATCACCAGCTTCTCCAAACATTTGAGTTCTTGCTTTCTGACAATGTATTTGTATTTGTTTACTTGCCACCAAAGCAAAAAAATTCAGTTGGCAGTCAGCTTCTTGCAGTCTTGTGGAAATGCAAGTGCAAGAGGATTTTGGAGGAACTGACACTTGGAAAGAAAAGCTGCTCCTTGGATTTCAGCAGCTGAGCTGAGCTGTGGCAGTGCTGGCAGCTGTTCTCCTGGTACCCAGCAGAGCCTGTGGCAGTGCAGTGCCCTGAGCTCCTGCCGAGTCTGTTGCCTGGCACAGCCCAGCATGCCACTCCTTTATTGTAATAGCTTGTTATTTTAAACTCCTCCTTCACGTTGCCATTTTTTGTGACTGGAAATGCAATCATACAAGCAAGATGATGGAGCTGTCTTTAACCATCTCTGGTAATTGAGTTGTTTTCACATGTCATGTTAGGCAACTGCTTCTAGTGAACTGCTACATCGTGCTATGCTAACATTTTACATTTAAAACAGGATTTACTTGCTTATGTTCTTGTTTGAAATAGAGATTTTTCTTGATTGTTCTTACTGGTGCAACTTATGTATCCTTACAATACTTTAAAAATAGAAAAAGAAATCGCATCTGGTGCTCACATATGGCCAAGTGCAATTGATTGTGAGTTCCGTGTAGTATGTGTAATGTAAAGCTCTGCAAGTGAGCTGGGAAATGAATCCACAGAGTTTAGGATAATAGACCACATGCTAGAAGCAGATAATAAATCAGAAATGACATTTTAACCATTAAATACTCTCCAGGTTTTGGCAAGTGTAGTGTATTTATTTGGACTGCAGCTGAAAAGTGGCACTTGAGGAAACTTGGTGAAAGAAAGAGACAGATTAAGTGCAGAAAGTACTGGGGCCTCTGGTGACTATCACATCTGAAACTTCAACTTCCCTCTGCTGTTTTCAGCATGCATTTAATTCCTTCTTGTAGTTAAACCTGTTTATAATTCCATACATGTAATTCCACATTTGAACATCAGCCATGGCTGTAGAGCCGATGAAGCCTGGGATTATTTTTCAGGTTCCTTGGTGAGGCCAGGATTTCCTGTAAACATGTCACCTTTGGGCTCTGATCAGGCCCTGTCAGAGTGCTGACCTTGACCGAGTTGATGGGGCAGTGCTGTACCCTGCACTGCTTTTTCCCCAACAGGGGACACAGCCCTGGGGTCTTGCTGGGACAGCAGAAGAGCAGGAACTGGCCCAGGACATAATCCAGTGCAGGTTCCAGCAGCAAAGGCAAAAGCCAGGCAAGGTAACGATGGGAACTGTGACACAGCATCTGTTGCACACTCCTTGCTGTATTCTCTTGCTCTATACTGAATCCAGAAAAGCCACATTTGTGGCTGTTTGTATTGGTTGATGCAGAGCACAATTTCCCTCCACTTTGTGATGAGTGCAGACGTGGACAGCAGCAGATGACAGTGGACACAGTCCTTGATCTGACCATCTCTGTCACCCTTTGGATAACTCAGTAGTAATCCCAAAGCATCTGAGGGTTGCACACGTTGTTCCCAGCTTTGACAGGCTCACCTATTCCCTTTGGATAGTTGAGCAAGATACAGTGTGGATTGTATCTGGAGCAAGTTCCTACTGAAAAAGTTGTTCTCTCACTGTTGAGAAGTGAGTCTGTCCTTTGGGTAGGCTCTGATGCCAGGCATTGACCAAAGGACCAGCCCTGGGGTCTCCCCACAGGACTGGCAGAGAAAGCCTTGGTGTGAATCCACTGGTCTGGGATCATGCAGGGTGTGTGGGATCACTGATGGATCTTGGGAGGGAGAGCACCCATCCCACCATGGGCTCAGTCCTGCAGTCAGCTGAGTCTGGCGTATTTCCTCTGAGATCTGGAATAGTGGAGTGGCATGTGAAACATCTGGGATTCCAGGTGGTCATTTGGGAGGAGTGTATGCTAATTCAGAGGCAGTGTGGCCATGGCAGATGTCAGGACTGAGCAGCACTGCCAGTCAGGGTGCAAGGCAGAGCAGGTGATGCAGCTGATAGTGTAACCCCTCATGTTCCCTCACAGACTTGTCCCAGCAGGACCCAGAGCAGTGGTCACACCTGCACTTTGGTGCTGGTCCTTGGTATCTTGGAGTCCAGCCTCATTATTCAATGGGATTTCTTTGTGGTCAGGAGTATCTGCAGTAGTGCAATGCCATGACTTTAGCAATATACCTTTCTTTTTTCTTCCTGCTTTCAATAATAAAAGCTTGGACACGATTGTCCTGCCTTGTTCTTGACTCTCTCATTCAGTATCTTCTGTTGGGAGTGGAGCTGCTCATTCTTCCCCTGAATTATTCCCTGGAGGATGCTATTGCTAATGCAGCTGTTTTGACAGTGATCAAGGGAGGCTTATCAAAACCACATCTTAAGGATAATATAGAAAGGAGTCTCTTTTGGGTAACTATGCCCTTGGTCTGCATCCAAGCTGTGATCAGAGCAGAGCTTTTAGACTTGAGCACAAGGAGTTGTTCTCACATTGGCAGTTGCCCCCATTCCTTTGATTAAATGCCTTTTGTTCTTACTCCATCTTGTGTAACTGAAGTCTCTGCAATGTGCCAGCTTTTGAAGAGCTGAGCACTGTTTCCCTGCATGACAGGAGGGTTATAGTGCCTGGATAAAGCAGAGGGGTTCCCAGCTCTGCCACAAAAATGCCTCCAGACACCTAAGGGAGAACTTCATCTCTCTGGTGTTCTTAGAAAACAGTCTGTACTGCCATGCTCAGGAAAAGGCTCAGCTAAATCTGCTTTTCCTATTGCCTGTATAGCAACTGTCTTTTCTAGTAATGCACAAGTTTGCATGAAAACTTTATCTCTTCTTCCTTAAGAATTCATCATTTGTGCCTCTGCTTATTCCCCACATGAAGTCATAATCCTCTATTTATGCTATCACAATGGGTTGCTGTGGAAATCATTACTAATATTAATAACCCAAAGAAGATGACATCAGGTAGGGAATTAGCAGAAAGTGCAGATGAATGCTGACTTTTTTGTAATGCAGGAACAAAGAAAGGTTAGTGAAATACAAAAAAGTGTTGAGAACTTTCCCCTTTAAGCTAAACATTAAAAAATGAGACTGCTTCTCTCAGCCTTGTAGATAGGAAAATTAATCAATTTATAATCAAGCAATACATTAATCAACTTATAAAATTCTATGTACTTTCCTTTATTTCCTTCTGATTCTTCATTTACTTTATGAATTAGAAGTTCATATCATCTCAGAGGATGTAGGTCTTCACTGAGTGCCAGATGACCTCCTACCTTAAAAAGTCAACACATGTTTTACTTTGAATTAATTTTAGATCATGTAATAGCCACTACACTTACTTAGTGTTAGTGCTGTTCAGTTTACATATGTGCAGAAGAATCTTTGGAAGATGAAGACTCAAAAGTATATATTTATATACTAGAGATTATTATATGAATCAGTTTTGTTTGTTGGTTGGTTTTTAAAGGGTGAGGAAAGTGTCCCTTTCAGTACATGTTTTTCCTCACCAGTGAGGCTGTCAGCCACAGGAGCTGGGTCAGAGGCTGACTGAGAAGATGTCATGTGCTTTGCGTAAATGGGGACTCATGTTTCTATTCCTTTGCTTCTTTTTTCCCTTTGACTATTCTCTCCCTGGGTTCCTGTTCCAAACGACAGGATGTTCGTGCTCCTGCCTTCTCCACTGAAAACAACAGCCCACGTAATCCGCTTCCTTTCCTCCTTCTCAGGTCATGGTTTCCCTTTGCAGTGGTCCTTGGCAGAGCTGGCAGGCAGGAGACAGTGTGGCCGTGAGGGATGGTGGCCCAGAGGGGCAGAGCAGTGCAGGTGTGCACACGAATGACACTCGGTGCCCAGCGCATCTGTGCTGATGCAAAAGGCGTCCTGTGCCAGGAAAAGCCAAGGAGCAGGGTGGGAGAGGTTGCTTAAAAGAGCTCTTCCTTCTGGAAAACATGACTGAGAGGGTGCAGCAGGGAGGCAAAGCCCAAAGCCCAGCTGCTGAGACCGTGGGTGTTAGGCGGGAACTAAAGCAACACTCTGGCTGTGGATGGACTGAGAAATCTGGCATACTGACCATGGCAGACCGGGGCACTGCTGGCTTCAAAGAGATCCTCAGTGTGCTTTGTGTCTGTAGGTCTGTGCTGTCCTGTCCTGTATCTCTATCAGTCTTCCTAGTGCCTGACAAGAAGGCTTAGATCATTCTCCTTTGATTTATGCTGCTCACAGTGGCTGTGATGGCCCCTTCCCTCTGAATCTACTGCACTGTTGTCTCTCCTGCCTGTCTGCATGTCAAGGGGGACACTCCTGATAGATCTTGACATTCCAGCAAGGTCGCTGGCTTTTCCAGCTCTGCTCTTCTGTCCCCTCTGGCCAGCCTAGCCAAGTGTTTCATGGTCACTGCTTTGTTTCAAGGAAACTCTGAGAAGCTGCTGTGTCCCATATGAGGCACATGGCGTTGTGGCACAGCTCATCAGCTCCACTCTGTCCTGCACTTTCTTGTGTTGAACCCAAAGGCTGCTGCTTTCTCTCTCCAGTGCCAATTGTTTCTCTAAATACGAAGAAATTAGGAAGGAACTCAAAGGACAGTCAGGGCAATACATCAGTGAATCAGTTTTGGTTTCAGTGTAAAGTGGTGTGCAGCCGGGACAGACAGAATGACAATGCTGAATGCATTTTTAGTTGCCCTGCACCACAAAAAATACTTTGTTTTTGTCATTGTAGGTGAAGCCTTGTAGTAGTTTAATCTTTTCTCACCCCTTTCATTCTCTTGGATCTCAGGTCAAAGGTTGCTTAAGCATCAGTGTCAAATGGGCTGAAGTTCAATGTGCTTGCAAGGAAAGAAAAGAGGTGGGATAGAAGAATTATCTTAAATAGTTTGACTTGACTATTTTCTTTTAAGAATACCTTGACTTGAAGGATTTAAGAAAGGATGGCTGAAAGCTGGTGAGGGAATGATCCCATGGGTGTAGGGTTACATACACTCCACTTGAGCTTAGATTTAATTTTTCTTTTAAATGTTAGCAGTCAGGAAAACAGTGGCTAATCAATATAAACACCAAACCCTGGAAATCTGTGACTCCCTACCAGCATCACACAGGCATTAAGTGTAGTGCTCAATGCCCTGTTAGCAAGGGGAGCATTCAGTGCATGTTTGGTTTTGCTTGTGGGGAGCTGGAGATACAAATGTGCGTTGTGGGCAGGTTTGGTCGCTCTCTGTCCTGCAGCAATCTGGGTGTGTGTAAGTCCCAGAGTGAGCAGGCAGCAGGGCTCAGACTGGGGCCTTCCTCATGGGGAACATTTGTAGCTACGCTTGGCCTCTTTTAAAAGTGCATGCAGTCATCTTAGCTCTATCAGAGATAACAGACCCAAAATGCATACACTTTTTTCCTTCATGTATAATGCTGCTTCATAGTTAGGATTATTTAGTTTATCCATTACCTCAGCTGTCTGAGGACACATTGTAAAAAAGCTATAGAGAAGGCATTTTAGGCTATGTGGATGACTTCAACATAAGGAAAGCATGACTAAGGGCTGAGAGAATGTGCAGTGAAAATTACCCTCTTTAGGCTGAAGAAAATTCCCAGAAAATCTAGGCATACGGGAAATGCCTGGCTCTTAACATAGCTGCTTGTACCACGTTTGTGGACAGAAAGCCAGCCCTCTATAAATGCATCTTATTTTGGGATGTATCTGATAGAAAATACAATCAAAGGACCTTGCTTTTATCTCCTTTTCTCTGCCCTGGAGTCAATTTGGCCAGGCACATGTACTTAATGACTTCACATAATAGAAATACAGAAAACCACATGGGTCTGCAAAGTGCCCTGATTGTGTCGTATTGGTGCATTTCTGCTGCATCCAGAGCCTCCCTGTGGGGCAGGTCTGGGGTGTTATTGCCTGGGCACTCTCTCAAGTAAGTGGTTTTTGAAATTTTACTGCAACAGTCAGGCATAGTTATAACAGTGATGAAAGCTTGCAAATATGATTTCCTTTTTATCTTAAGAGCTGAGGAAGAGAGTAATCTTGTGTTGTCAAACCTCCAGTTAGTAATAAAAGCTTTCTTGTGGTGTTGTTCCAGCTAGCTGAGATCCCAGTCCCACTATCACAGCTGTGTCCTCAAACTCCTGTGCTGCTTTGTCTCACTTTCTCACTCAGGTTTTCTGATTTGTTTCTGTACTAATTCAGCCACTGTTTGTGTGCTTTTTAATATTGAAAACAATCCTTTTAATGTGCCCTTGGCATCATCTCCCGGGCTCCCCAAAGCTGGTCCTTGAGGCACTAGGGCCCTGCCACTTGTCCTTTTTTTCTGCTTGCTGGTGTACTTCCCACTTCAGCATTTTGCAGAAGCAAATGAATGGGAGACTTGTCTTTACCCTTCTGTTTAAGAATTCTTTCATAATTTCATAAGGAATCATTTCACAGTGATTCACAATATATTTCTGATCTTTCTACAGAAAACCTACAATATCAGAATTCTGTTTCCAACAAGGAGTGGGGAAAGAACAACTGTTTGGGAGCTTAGTGAAATCCAGACACAGTGGCTTTTCTTCTACTGATACATGTATTTTAGTGCAGATTTAATAAGTGTTTCCTTAGTCAAGACTTAACAACATTGTATAGGAAGGAACAGGGAAGCTGCAGATAGAGAACATGTCTGCTGACTCTGGCTACCAGGTAGAGGAGCCACACTAGGTGCAGGATGTCTGCAACATCAAGGAAAGCAGAATAAAATCATCTTGGCAACATAACAGAAACAAAATTATAAAAAAAGAAATCAGCTGTGCTAAGCATATGAAAATACAAAATTACATCTGGTGAAGTAAAGGTGCAAGGATTTTTGTCCAGAAAAACACATTAACCTTTTATGGAGGTAGATGTGTCCTTGGGAACTTGGGAGAGTTTCATAACATGAGAAGGAACAAGAAATGACAATCTGATAACACTTCCTCAGGAATGCATGGCATTCTTTGTTGTGAGTTTCGTGTTCTCCACGGGATGTGGATGACTCAGGCTAGAACATGAAAAATGTAGACCTATAAGGGAATTACTTACCATAGGTGTGGGCAAGCATGAGATCTTTGTCGCTTCCCAGTATGTTGTGTAGACCCTGTTATAAATCAGCTACCTGTGGTATTTCTGTAATGAATGAGAAGTAGGACAGATGAATGGCTGTGGAAGCAATTTAGTGACAAACTTAATTGTGCCTAAAATTGAAGTCTGCTTTCTGCTATGGGATGTAAATCTCTGGGTTCCCCCTAAGAAGGGAATTTAGTTGAAAAATCTTGTTAACAAAATACCAGGTTTTTCTAAAGATAATATTTTAAGCTGGAAAAAAAAAGCCTTTTCTTTCTGTTTGCATCTTTGCATGTATGTGCAATGTATGTGGGAACACAGGTGGGCTGGGGAAGAAATGGAAACCCTTGCATTTGCTTAGGCTTTCAGTAGAACCAAAGTTTTAGACTTTGAGCCTTGTTCAGTTCTGTGTTATTCTTGGTCTCTGTGAGGTTGAAGCTGATGTAAAGCTGGAATGCTACAACTGGGAGTCAGGCATCTTGTCTTCAGGCTTTTCCCATCCTTACTAAAATGGGTCTGATCCAAAACATGGGATTGCATGCTTGTCGTGTCCTGAGAGTCTCTGTCTCTGAAATTCCAGCCAGCCAGGGTCTACATTTGTGTATGAGCCTTATATTTATACCCAGCAGCTCTCCTGTTGCAAGGCGGGCATTGTGCTGTCCCCTTGGGAACGAGGATTAGCGCAGACGTGCCTGCTCGCTCCCCAGCACAGGTGCTTAGTGAAAGAGTAACTGCCTGCAAGGCACAACAGAGGTCCTTGAAAAGAATTAAGATTGGGCTGATATCCAAGCTGGGAACCATTCCTGTCCTGTTTGGTTTAATTCATACTCATTACATAAATACTGAACACTGGTTGCTTTTTTTTTTATAGGTGCAGAGCACCTATAGTCTCAATCAGTGTCAGGAGCAGTTTTGCATACTCAGTGTGCAATCCTCGAGGAAAAGACCCCACAGAGGATGCTTACAAAGAGCCCTGCTTAATGCTTGCAAGAACCATTGCACAATTTTTTTTTTCAGTTTTCTAGTGCTCCTTTTAGTTAGGTTTAGTAGATTCTCCTCTAAAGGCAGAGATAAAAGGAAATATCTGTGCTTGCTGCATAGCAAAATGGTCCTTGACTGCCTTGGCAATCACAATTAGCTATTCCTGAAGATTCTGTTCTCCCATTACTTTGGGACTGCTGCTGTGTTTGATCTAAACAGCTGCACTTTGTCTCCTGGCAGACCATGCAACAGATGAGCGACCACCGCTACGACAAGCTGACAGTGCCTGACGACGCCGCGGCAAACTGCATCTACTTAAACATCCCCAGCAAAGGGCACGTCCTGCTGCACCGGGCCCCCGAGGAGTACCCCGAGAGTGCCAAGGTGAGAGCCACCCCGGGCTGCCAGCGAGGCCCTGGCAGCTCCCTTGCTGCAGGGGGATGTGTGTGAGTGCCACAGGCAGAAGGCCACGTGCACCGTGACTGTTCCTGTTCATTAACGGTGATGGGATGGCTTGGCACTGCTGGCAAATCCATGTCTGTTCCTTCTGTAGATACTTAGAGAAAAGGGAAAACAGAGGTGTGAAGTGTAATGATTTTTCCCTTACATTTTTCTTTCCTGAACAGGTATTTGAAAAGCTGAAGGACCACATGCTGATCCCAATAGCCAACACAGAACTGGCGAAAGTAGATGGGGCACTCACCTGTTGCTCTGTGCTTATTAACAAAGCTTCAGAATTATGAGTTTACAGAGTCCCTCCCTTGTAACTGGCAATAATGTTACACACAAGGTAGACGAATCTGTATCCACACTTTTATTGTTTTTATTGACAATCTACTGTACCACTGTGCTACTAACCCTTGTTTACAGATTTTTTGCATTGTGAATTTTTATTATGTCCTTGCAGATGGTATATAAAGTGGATGTAGGGTTTGTTGGGAGCACATAACTCTGAAGTAAGTTAGTCCCATGGGCTAGCAGAAGACAATTATAATGGCTAACCCTTAGCTTTAGTGATTTAACATATCTGTGTGAAAATTTCATGAAACTCAGCTGATATTCTCAATATTTCAAGCACCTCTGTTGTCTTTACACTGTTTCCCTCTGTCTTCTTTTCTCTTGCTTCCTTGCTCTACATGGTTTTTTTCCTTCCTCAGTCTTCTACTTTCAGTGGTGCAAAGTATTAGGGGGACTGAAGAAAACACAGTGGGCTCATGAACCTTGTGTGGTAGGGAAGCTTTCCATGCACTACTGGGACAGGGGGCAGTGGATTGTGCTCACAGTCCTGGCCACATCACAGTGCTGCTGTGACAGCCACAGAGTTGTGGCTGGAATCCATTTCAGACACCAGGTACCAGCTTTGGAAAAGCTTCCTCTGATGGGAGTGTTCAAGGGCAGTGACTGCCTGGGAAACATGAATGACAGAAGAAGAGAGTAGTGCAGCCACACGAGTTGTCTCCTGCAATTCAGGTCCCAGTTTCCTGCTAAGACCATGACTTTCAATGTGGTGAGAATGGGAGAGGAATTTTTAAAAAGGCCAGATCCTAGGAAGCCTCTGGACCACAAAAATTAAATGCAGAGATCAAAAAGAAATCTAAAGTATGGGGGAGTTAAATGTCTTTGTTTACATCTTAAAAATTGTTTCTCTTTTCTGTTTTCTCTTAATTTGGAGGCCACTTACTAGCCAAATTCAAAAGAAAAGGGTGATAGAAGTAGTTGAAGGACAGCTATTCCTGGATTATACCATGAATAAGGGAAGCTGTTTTTTCCTGGAAGATTGTCATTTTTTCTTTATCTGCCCTTGGGATGGTTTTCCTTGGAACAATAACAATCTTACATTTTTTTAGTGGCATGAATATTCACTGTGGTATTCAGTTAAGGCAAATATAATTTTTGTAGCAAATTCCTCACCATGTTTACCCACTGAGTCATGGCATTTTTTTTTTGGCCACTGCAAAGTGAAGCACACAGCATTGTATTCACATGCTTCTTGTTAAATCATTTGTAAACTAAGGATGGGAGCAATTCCCAAACAGAGGCAGTAGTGGGAACTTTCCAGAGACTGACAAATAGTCTGAACATGTTATCAGCTTCCTAGACATCTCCTCCACCTTTCCTGAACCACTTGTGGCGTGTTGCTGAGGCACAGTAGGAAGTGAGTGAGGGGGCTTGGGCAATGTGGTCTGCAGGAAAACAAACAGAATTAACCAAATGCCCACTGGGATATCCTTTGGAAACCTGTGAGCTGTTTTGTGCAGCCATAAGGGAGAAAACACAAGTACTCGTGCTTGTAGGCTCTCTCTGGCACAACTCACACTGCATCTCAGTGGTGATGAGAGGAAAACCTCCTGGCAGCTCCCAGAGTACACCTGCTGCTTCGTGGGTGCTCTGTTTGTTGTGATGACACCAGGTGGGGAAGAGAGCAGTGATGAGTGAATATATTGTATGTGTAAAGAACATGGCCCAAAGAAGTTCTTCAGCCAGCCAAACAGCAAGTGGGTATTTTTTTTCTGTTTATGATTCTCCTGTCCCAAAGGGTGATCCTAAAGTTCCCTCTTTGTCTCTTCCATTCCCTTGCACCATCAATTAAACCTGAGCCACGTGATCAGGCTCTCAGGATGTAAATGTTGCAGTGGGGAATGTTTTTCTGCCTTCCCTTGGTGCTTTTTAAATATTTGATAAAGTATCACACATTTCAAAAGAACCTGACATTAAACAGAGATTTTGTGCCAAAAGTGGCCCTGCAGTATTGAGCTGTGAGCTCCTAAAGGCAAGCTGTGCTCTGTTAAAAACCTGTGCAGCCTTGGGAGCTGTCAAAGCTGAAACAGCCCCCCATCCTGACTTGTCCATGTGCCTCCTGGGGCTACACTGGGAGAGTTAGGCTGTAGGATTTCCATTTTATTTATTGTTAAATATTTCTCTAGTGTTGGTTTTGCTTTTTTTCTTCCTCCAGTCTCTCTCACCTCTCACCTGTCTCCTTCCTCAGACTCTCATTTCTAGTTTGCTCATCAAGGCATGATGAGCACTTTTCGTGCTTAATCCCAAGTGATTTTACCTTCTTTCCTCAGTTCTTACTTGAGTCTTTTTCTTCACTTCTCTTTCTTCACTGTTCACTCCACAGTGTCCCAAGCCATGATGGACTATCCTAAACTCACTCCCTCCTTGAGTAGGTGCCAGGAGAGAGGGAAAACTGAGGGGTCTGCTTTGAATCTGAGCAACTTGTTTTGAGCTGGAAGGATGACAGTCAGCAGGAGCTGTAGAATCAGAGAAGAACAAGGGTGACTCCTCTTTTAAAGATGTCTCCAGAAAAGAAAGAACCATTTCTGGTGACACTGCTGTTACCCTGTGTCCTTGAAAGCCATAGAATGTGTGACAATGAATTTCTCTGGTTCCCTAGGGGAGGGAGAGGAGGAGTTGGGATTTCAGAGCTGAGAAACAGCCGTGTAGACAACGAGGTTGGTTTTTCATCTCTTGCCATTTAGGTTTCTTTGGTTTCAGGGCTGCATTTTGGTATACAGAAAGCAAGAGAGCAGCTGAGGGATCTGAATTCCTTCAGTTGTTGTATTCAAACTGTCTAACTTCAGACACAAAATTGAGGTGCTCTAAAACCACACCTGCTTTCTCTCTCTTGGCCTCAGTAGGAATCACAGCCTCTTAACATAGATGCTCTAGGTTACATCTTAGTCTGATGCCAAAAGTTACCTAAGCTGGTTAGTGGGATCGCCCTCACCTCACAGCTTCTCCTGTTAATCTTTATTCTGGCATTAGAAAGAAAAATATTATGAACACTTCAGTTTATGTATTTGCAGTATGGTACTAAGAATTAAAATCATGCCAAATGCTTCTTGTTCTTGTTGTTTGCTCTTTATTTTTCTGTTGCCCAAACAAAGAATTCAGTTGTGAGGACATTTCTGCAGTGACACATGTGCATCTAATGCATGTCCTGTACATTTTGTCACCAGAACATTTCTCAGATGCCTGATGTAAATCATCATCCTTGATTAATATAAATAATAAAATAAAATCCCAAACCAAAAAAGGAAGATGAGACACTGAACACTGATAGTTGCCCACATAAAACTCTTGATAACAACTGTCAGGCTGTGTGACAGAGCAGACCAGTCAGAAGTTCTTGTGGTAATAGCTCAGCAGTGGGGCTTGAATTACTCATCAAAGGATTTGTCCTTTCAGCAGGCAGTTCAGCTCAGTTGGAATGAAAGAGCCCGAATGTGCAGTATAGATATTTCATGGATGTTATCTTTGCTAAGAGTTTAGGGAGATCTGTGATATGTGGGTTTCTTTCTTCAGCAGAATGTGAATACAGTGTCTCTCTCTGTAATGAAAATGTGAATGCATACTGTACCTTATGAGATAAACTTGAATTCTTCCATTTATGTATTTTTCCATTTACCATGCTAATATTCAGTTTTAAATAGATGCCACTGTGTAAAGCTATGCTCTTGATTTTTTTGGTGATTTCCATGTGATAGGAATAGAGCTCATAGGCACCACTATGTCCAGTTTTGAAAACAAAAAGCCAGTATACAGAATGCTGTTTGTTCACAGCAAATTGGAAAATATGGAAAAAAAGAGCTTTTGATTTTGTTCAGCTTCAAATATGTTTTATCAATGAAGTCCGAGCCAAATTAATAGAAAACATCAACATCCACATGGAGCCATTTGAGGAAAATAATTTACTATTTAAGATTGTCTATTTTTGCTTTTATCAATAAGGAAGCTGAAAAGATAAGCCTGCTCAAACAATGGTATTTGTTAAGTGATTGTGAACAAAGTATCAGTGGACCTCATGTATTTTCAGAGAAGTTTTAACTGGACGTGTGATGTGAATTGTATGGAGTTGTATGTGAATGTGTTAGTCACTGTTTTACATTGTATTGTTCTGCAGTGCACAAATGTGACTACTGAGCACAGAAGCATTACATTCATTAAACTTAATCTTGTTGCAGTATATAATTCCCCACTTTTTGTGCCAAAAACATTAATACATTCCATAATCAGTTCTAATAGAGGTTTGCACTTTGGTTTAATTTTTTTTGTGACTCTTGCAGTTTCAATACTGTATATCTCCATCACGAAGGAATAAAGTGTCAGTTGTACCATACCCTGTTTAGTTTGTGCTTCTTCTTTTGGAAGTGAAAGTATATTAATATAATTTAATACTGTTTCATGCTGTCTTTTTATTTCCAAGTTTATTACATTCCTAGAAGTAAAGCCAATTATAGACACTAGCACTAAAACCCTTAATTCTGTTAGGGGAAAATCTTGACTCTTTAAAAACAAATTACAATTTTAGACTCTACATTTAAGAGTAATGTGTAGAGAGGAGATACTGCCTGTGAGTGGTCATGGTTCATTTTATTGCTGTCCAAGGTAACAAAACAGATGTTAGCATAGTACAGTAGGTTTCTCTGTGGTGCCTGCACTTACTGTAACTTACAGAAGGTGAAACTACAAAGGTTTGGTGGCATTCCCATTACGGTTAAATTATTCCCACAGCTCCTGTGTCTTTTCTCCCCCACAATCTCAGGAGAGGCAGCTGCACTGCAGGCATTGCTTTGAGGTAACCTGACAGATAATCGCGTGTGTTACACCCGAGCACTCCTGTGGCGTGCTGCAGAGTGCTCCTGTGCTGCCCTGTGCTTGCCCCTTGGGCTCCGTGTGTGTGCACGGGCTCGTGGGCCATCAGTGCCACCTCCTGGCAGCCCAGGGGACACTGCTCCAGGCCTCAGGATTGTTCTTTCGGCTTTTTGAGACACCCAAGATAATTTAACGGAGTAGGAAGTTCTTAATAAACTGTAGCAAAATAATTACATCACTTTCAAACTGTATTTTGCTAGTATAATAGGACTTTAAACAAACCATAATCTATTATTCTCCTTGCCAGAGAAGTAGGGACACAGGATCTAAATACAGCCTTTATACTGATTTTACAACATTGGTTAAAAGTATTATTTTTAAGTAATATATTTAAATCAGTGCTGTGCCTAATGTGAATACATTTAGTGTGATGCAATTAATATTTTAACTACTTCATTTACATGTGTATCTGTGTCTGCAGGAGAGAGTTGGTACCAATTTACTTGAATTTGTTTCTTAATGGCAGTGATTAAAAATTAGCAAATATAGATAAGCCACATGCACTTGCCACATTAAGAAGTTTCTCATGGAATATCAAACTTGAAAAAAGCAAAATCATAGTAATTTAACAAGGAGTGTTCTTTGCAAAACTTAGCTGTAGGATATTACTTCAAGTAGAGATTTCTACATTTGAGTGTACAGAGTCAGTCCCCACTCTAAGTACATGCTGCTCAAAAAAATCAGTCACTGTCTGCTGCATCATAAAGCCCAGACATTCTGATGCTCTCTCAACAACCTCACCCCCAAAATTCATGACCTGTAGGTTTATTGCTGGGTTTAGTAGCTGAAACATGCCGTTGGTATCTGCTGAGTTTGGGACGGGCCCTCGATCTGTAACTAAACCAAACTCCTTCCCTTCTCTCTGTCTGGCAGCTTCCTCCTCCTCCTCCTCCTCCCGAGGAGCTGAGCTGCAGAGTCCCACAGCTCCCACAGGGGCTGGGCTGTCCTGCCAGCTCCAGCAGGGCTTGTCCTGAGAGCCCAGAGCAAGGATCAGGAGAATGGATGGGAGCACGTGAAACCTCCAGGGAGAGGCCCCTGCTCTGCAGTAAGGACATGCTGCCTGGGGATCAGTGAGGGCAGGAGGGGAAGAAAGCCTGGAGCCAGGCACAGCTCTGCAGAGCTGACTGACCTTAGGAGCTGTGACAGTGTTACAGCATTTTCTTCATCGTCACAGGGAGTTTTGTAAAAACCTCTGGGTTGTAAACAGTTTTCAAAGTTTATTTTGGAAATTTAGTCTAGAAAATTATACTAGATGCACACTACATATGTATACATTCACACAACAAGGCAATGTCCAAAATCTTCCCAGCTGCCTTGAAGGAAATGATCCCTGGCTCACTTCTGAATATCAAGTGGCTGCTACTCTCCTGAAATGAGTGTCGTGCAGAGAGTGGCCTTCTTCCTGCTGCCTGCACCATTAAATCCTGGTAGGATTTAATGTGTAGGGTGTTTTGGCATTATGTCTGCTAAAATATATTCTGTTCTTGTATTCACTAACCACACGCTCCCATCCTGACTGCTGAAGTTAAATCGTTCCAGTTTGTCTCCTGCACGGCTCAGGAATCAGCAGCCTAACCCTCCAGACATCACATGGCTTTGAGCTGCACCTCTTGCTGAGCAAGGTTATTAACAAATGCTCTAAATCCAGAATGCATGATAGATGTTTTATCAGCAGTGTGGTATGGAGCCAGCAAAGCCCACAATATAATTCACCTTGACGAGGAAGAGCTGAAAGGCGTGTGATACAATAAACAAGGGTGGGAGTCAGGGGCTGGGGAGATGCCTGGCTCTGTTTCAGAAGTGCCACAATCCCTTGGAAGCATCAGAGGAGCTGAAAGCTTTCCACGTATTTTGGGTGCATAGCAGAGATTAGGGAGGATCAATGTAGGCACTTGAACTTGGGAAAAAATGGTCAGCCCTGCAGCTCTCTGAGCAGGAAAATGGGAGATAAATAGGTTACTTTGCAGAGACACACAGCTCTGAGAAATTCAAATGCACTACAGCAAAGAAAGGCTTCTTGGGGTGGGAATAACCCACCATGGGCTGTGAGCAGGTGTGCCCCAAATGAGCAGCGAGTATTGTTTATTTTAAAGCTGGGACTGCTACCACTGTAAAATAGATATTGTCACAATAAATATTTCAAGTACTATTGCATTAACAAAGCATGTCAATCAAAGACACCGCAAAACTGTAAAGCTACCATAAAACTGGCAGGTTTTCCTTACTGAGAGCAAACCTCAGTGCTGATCACTTCTACTTATGCTCATGTTTATCTGCTGAAAGGAAAATTTTAGGACTTCCAGCGGTGTCAGCGGCAAGAGCACGGACGGCTGAAGTTCCGGTGCGCGCTTTCCCGGGATGCGGCGCCGTGCCTGGCGCGGCCTTGGAGCGGGCCCGGGAGCGGAGGGGCCCAAACCCGCGCTCTCACCGCGCCAGAGCCGCACCGTCCCGCACGCTCCAGGCAGGGCAGGGCAGGGCAGGGCAGCAAAGGGGTGGCAGGGCAGGGCAGGGCAGCGCTCCCGCACCGAGGGTCCGGGCCCGGCCTGAGGCACCGGCCCTGCCC